CCAGGGTTTGGTTACCGAGATACCGGGGTAAGGGTATCTCATTTTGAGATTTTTGAGATTTTAGAGATTTTGCTGGCCACTCAGTTTCAAAATCCCCCGTCTCCACTAGCGCTCACCAGCAGGCGATGGCGTCACGGAAGACAAAGAAGCGAGCTCATGTCAGCGACAGCGACCACAACAGCGGAGATGATGCTGAGGATTTCAATGGCGTCAGCGTCTCTTTCCCCCCGTTTAGCGGGGAGTTCGAGTCCTGGGACGCATTCCACGAGGAGCTAAAGAGGTAATGCTTACAATTTCTCTTCATGTATGAGATAAAACTAATATTTATTCTAATTGATAGGTACCAGGAAGAGACGCATCAACTGTACAAGATTCGCTCTACAAACTCCGTGCCCGATCGCAACAAAAAGGTTTGAGCTGTAGCCTCGCGCCGCGGGACTTCTCCCGTTTTTTTTTACGAGTCGCTAGAGTTCTATACGAAAACGCTTATCTGCACGCACGGTTGGACATTCAAGCCCAGGGGGAAAGGAGTGAGAACCAACCACAACATCCGTTCTATTGAATGCCCTGCAAAGCTGAATGCCGTTCTTATCAAGAAAGGAAACAAGAATTACACAGTGCGGGTCACCAAGCACGTGGCCACCCACAACCACGACGTCGGTCAAGACGTCTACTATACATACGGAGAAGCCCTCAAAATTACTTCTCCAGGCACGCAACGTGTCGTCAGGACGATGAAGCAAGGTAATGACTCTCTATATCCTTGTTAGCTATTATCGTTCCTAACCGTTTTCAATTGTCTTAGGTGTTCTAAGAAGAAGAAGATACTGCGCTATCTCAAGGAGGTCTCGGGGAAAGTTGTTCTACCCAAGGATGTCGAGAATCTTATTACTAAGATGCGTAAGGAGACCTACACGTCTGAGGACGATAACGTGCGCGTGGCTCAAGTGCTTCAAGACTTTAGCGAGGGTCCTGGCAACGCTGTCGACGTCTTTCGTGATAAATCTACGGGGCTTACAACGTGTATTACGTTCCAGACGGCCCACATGCGACGGATGGTGGGTAAGTTTCCGGAGGCTGTCTGCGTCGATTCGACCTACGGAACCAACATCAATCGGTACGTCAAATGAACTGGTGTTGTATTTACCAATACATTGGTGTTGTGGTCACCAACACATTGGTGTCGCAGAAGTAATTGTGAATGCTTTACCAACTAATACTAGTACACCTTATGATCGTTCTACAGATATCGGTTGTTCAGTTTCATGATTACGGACAAGTTCGGGTGTGGAGCTTTTGCGCAGCATTCTCTAGTGGACGGAGAGAGCAGGTTGAACATTGAGTGCGCAGTTAGAGCTTTCAAGCAGAACAACGCAGAGTGAAAGAATGTGAAAGTTATCATCATTGACAAGGATTTCACTGAACTGGCGCTGCTGCGAGATGAATTTCCATGTGCGACTATCATCCTCTGCCACTTTCACGTTATTGACTATCTTCAGCGAGAAGTGAGCAAGAAAGACTATGGGTTCTCCAGTTTTGAGAAGATGCACGTGAAGAATACCCTGACGTTGATGGTTCGAGCGGAGAATGAGAGTCTATTCGATGACTACCTGTCGGCATTGAGGAAACTGTGTGCGAGTTAAACTCACGTTTCTGGATTACTTTGAGGAGAATTGGTTAAACTGCAAGGAACTGTGGTGTACGTTTGAGCGCGAAAATATTCCTCATCTAGCCAACAACACAAACAATCGTTTCGAAGCCAGTTGGGGTGCTCCAAAGGACTTGTTACATCGTCATATGGCTATGGATGAGTGTATCGACCATCTTCTATTTCTACAACAGTCTGCAGAAGGCGTGTATAATGCGAAGGTCAAGCGCGTGGGTTTTCGCTACAATTAAAATTACGATGACGAGATGACCGCCCTGGCAAAGTGCGCTACTCATTATGTATGTAATTTGGTCGAGGAGCAGTATCACGTTAGCGGAGGAGTGTCGTACGTTGTTTCATGTGAGGGAAATATCTTTACTCTCTCCAGTTCTACAGCCTCGAGTGCGAAATATGCAGTCAGCTTGTATGAGAACTCCTGCAGTTGCTCCTTTTACCAGACCGTGTTACTTCCTTGCCGTCACATCCTGTATTTGCGGCGGCAACATTCCGAATTTCGCTCTATTGTTCCGTGTAAGGCGATTCCGCTGCGAAGGTCGCTTGCAGATGACGGGGAAGACTCAAGTGTTCCCGATACCACACAGAAGTTCTACGCCGAAGATGTTGAAGCTCCTTCAAGTCGTGTCCTTGGTCATAATCAGAAGTATTGCTCGGGGTTTGCAGTGTGCCAGAGGATAGCCGAAGTTGTAGCAGACAAAGGCACGAAGCTTTCGCGTTTGGCTTAATCATTTGGAAGACCTGGAGAAAATCGCCCGTCACAATGATATGCCGCCATGTAACACGGACGCATGTATTGTTGGAAAACTCGCAGGTTTGGAGGACATTGGTGACTACGTTGGTGATGGTGTCGCCATTTCATGTGATACTGGTGAAGATACTGGTGATGGTGTCACCAATTCGACTAGTGTTGGCGAAAATACAACCAATTCTGGACGTGATCTGGCGTCCGATTCGCCGATGGAGATAAAAATCGAAAAGGAAAGACGGTCCACCCAGGCTTCAACTGCGATAACTAGACGGAAACTAAACCTTTACATTTCAGACAGCGACTCGAGCGATCAAATAGTCAACATTGTGTTGAACACGGCCAGTAAACCTGCAGGAAGACCACGTGAAAAAGCTTCTACGAAGAAGGCCAGGCGTCGAAAGGAGTTTCAAGACACCAAGGTGCTTATTCAGCAGATAAACACCTATGGAGACACCACGTTGTCCACCTTGCGTGAGTATGTGGATCAAAAGAAACTGTCGCTGGAGCAAATAGAGCCACTGTTCAATGCAATTCGCCCCAGGCGTGATGATGCCGTCTTCAAACGACCGAAAGGACATATGGTTACTCTGAGGACAACAAAGAGTGTGGAAACGAATATAAGATACACACTTCCAGAGCAACTCGTCCTGAAAGCTCAAACAGCTGGCAAGAACGCCATCTCGAGAGGGCAGAGCGAGTATGGCCGTACCCCACCACACGAGGACATCACCGTTTTATTTTTGGATGTGGGATTATTCTCTCTTGTTGACATCGACACTATGCATGAATGGCATTGTCTGAAGAAAAATATATCTGCCGTTCATAAGCTGATGAAGTGGATCGAAACAAAGCCTCAAACAGAGACCCGCTGCAAAATATTGAAGCGTGTGCAAAAGATCAACGTGTACACGTCGTTGAAATCCAAGAGCGGGGAAACACTTGTTCAGTTTGACGACTTGACAAGATTTGCGGGTGAAATGTGGCTTAGTGATGGGTGCGTAGTTGTGGCGGCACTGAAGGTAGCGGATGCGTGGAGTCGCTCCCAAAATAGTGGTAGAATCACCCAAGTGCACGTCGTTGATCCAGTTTTTCTTGGGTTTCAAGACGCTGCAGACCGTGCAAGAATGTTGGATACCAGTGAGCTGTTGCTGAGTACAGTCAGCCAAAGTCGCGTCATCCTGATTCCAGTCTACATCGTCGTTGACATCAGCCATTGGTGCGGAGCGATCGTCGACTTTGGCTGCAAGACAATCTGGATCTACGATCCAAAACACAACGAGGAATATTTGAACGCAGTGACTACAATCATGACCAAGAAAATTGTGCCAGTGATCGACCAAGCCTGTAAGTTAACTATCCGCCGGTCTTCGGCGTGGTATCAAGACGATGGGCACAATTGTGGGGGTTTTATTGTGAAGTGGTTTGAGACCTATATCAATGTCGCTCACAACACTAAAGTGGCCGAAGACCTGGTGCAGCTGACTCCAGATTTTACTTCTGCTAAAGACCTGGACGATTGCAGATACAAAATGTTTAAGTCAGTCTTTATGGATGTTACAAGCTAGTTAACTAATATGAGACCCACAATTGCAATCGTACATACACGACAAATGTTGACTTCCCCCGAGATCTAAATGTTCTTCTTATGACTCTGAAAAATGAATGCGCAGAAAGCTCAAAGGTACGTAGTACACACAATGCTTCACCAAGTTTTAGACATTTTTTTCAGAGATACCGACCATACCGGTTTTTACATTACCCTCGCCATAGCGATATTCCTTGAAGCAAATGGCTGTTTTACACCCGTGAAGTGGTGAACGTAGGGAGAGCCTTAAATATTTCGTTTAACCCCTACTTACCGTACGCGCCAAAATGATAGGACCCCCTAATCGGGGGTATACTTTGGCCAATATCTCAGCTTCTACTTGGAATTACCGGCCGCCATTTAGATATGTTATCTTTATTAGTGACGCTACTTGTGCTAACAACTCCGATTTCGCAAAGATTCGTGTAGCTGGTATACAAACCACCACTTTCAGAGGCGACGACACAATTTAGGACCAGCCCCTTTCTTTGAAAAAATAAACACTTTCTATGCGATCCCATACGAATTTTTATATTAGAAATTAGTACTTAGTGAGACTGCCTTTCTGCTTGATTACAGCTAGGCACCGGCGAGGCATGGATTCCACGAGCTTCAGCAAGTACTCGTGCTCGATGGAGTCCCAAGCAGATAGAATTGCGGCTTCCAATTGATGCACAGAGCTGTACTGGCAGCCGTGAGCATACACCCGCGCCGCTAGCACCGACCACACGTTCTCGATCGGGTTACAATCCGGCGAGCGTGGTGGCCAAACCATGGTGTCGATTTCAAGGTCAAGCAAGAACCCGTCGTCTCGCGCGAGGCGTGGATCGACGCATTGTCTTGCTGAACGACAACGTCAGTGCCATGGTTAGAGCGGGCAAACGGCAGCATATACTCGGAAATAGTATAGATGTAGTCGCTAGAACATTGTCGTTCTTTCAAAATGGCCAACTTGCTCTTGCCTTGCGCCCTAAACCATCACACTGCCTCCCCCATTTTGGCGACGAAGGTACGTTTGAGGAGGCTGCCTTAAGTCACGCCAGTAATACTTGTAGCCAGCAGGATCGTCAAGGTTAAACTTTTTTTTCATCTAAAAAAAACAGTATATTGCAAAATACCTAAATAATACAAAAACAGTTAGGATCCGTAAAAAAATAAATTCCATACAAACGTACCCGGATTAAGTATGTGCTCTTCAGCCCAGGTCATACGTGCGGCCTTGTGGGCGGCAGTGAGAGGTAGCGTGCGCTCCATCGTGGTGTACACGAGATGGTCCACACGCTGCATCACTCTCTGCACCGTTCTTACCGACGACTGGAGGCCAACACTTGTCTTCAGCTCGGCTGCGAACTGGTTACCAGCAACCGCTGCACGCACTATCCGTCGGACCTCCCTCTCCGTAAGTGCTGGGCGTCAACCGAGTTCTCCTTGCTTCTTGACTTCGTCTGTCAAGGGACCTCGTTCTTATCTGATCGTCTTCCGTACAGACGTGCGCGAACGGCCGATCTTCCTTGAAATCTCGTGCAACGACGTGCCGCGGAGACTTACTCTTTAAGCCTAGTTGCTGCCTGCTCCATGGTGCTATGACCGCTCATTCTTCAATGGGCCGTGGCAAAGCCCTCACCGACCATGAGTACTGGTGGATTATAGGCCTACACGACGCGAGTTGACTTGGCTACACCAGTCTTTTACATGCAATATCACCCATCATGTAGCCTACCCCTACCTTCTAGAATGCTCTCATAAATACGTAACTTACAAATATAGCCCACTAACGGTCACACTTTTCTGCGACATCCCTATTGGTCAATTTAAATTCTAGAATTGTTTCATTTACAAAACCAAACGACGTTGGCAGCGACAGAGCTCATTACGCGAA